GAGTAGTTAAAACAATTTTGGTTAGATTAAACAATATAATATTCAGAATCTGAGCAGCCTATTGCTCTGTTATATTATTCGTATTTATTAGCATTGCTTTCTAAAGAACAGTTACTACTGCAAAGTGCGTCTGCAGTAAAACTCCGCATTTCAACCCTGTGGTTGTTGCTTCGATATCTGTTATAAGCTTTTTAAATTTGCTATAATACCTAACCACTATTTTGGTCAATGTGGCCAATTTGTATTGGTTTGCCCTTTTATCAATATACAGTGCACTGCCATATTAAATTGGTTGGTTTAACCAAACGATTAGTTAATCTTATATCTTCCAACCAGATTAAAACCCAAAAATGTAATAAAAAATACCTATTATTTTTGAATAAAAATGACTAAAAACTTTAATTTTGCTAATCACTGCCCAAGTTGCACAAACGCTTTTGCTGTCTACTCAAGCTTATTTCACTAAAATGATAGAAAAACTGTGTTTTTCTATCAACAGTGTTGATTGCCCTCTTTAAAGTCATTTTATGCACAAAAAGACCTTACAAAAGAACGTATTATGCACATCAGTCATGAACAATTTCAAATAAACTTAAAGGGAACACCGTTTTTTTTACATTGGCCCCTTGATTTTACGTTATTACATCATGTTCTACTCACCCATATGAGTTTTGTGTCAGTTGGAGCTGTTCTGAAGATATTCATTTTTGTTATATCCAAGAAACGTCTTCCTATGGGCAACAAGTTGAAGGCACAAACTGAACTGTTCATAATTTATAATTTATGGTACGCCAGCATTCATAACATGTAGGCGAATCACTGTCCCTCAGACATCCACGGTTATATTTTTTATATTTATATCTTTTAAAAACAAAGCGGTCTTCTATTCATTCGGCTAGCTAATCTGAATTGTTCAATTCCACTTCGAGAGCGAGATCATCTGTGCTTGTAGCACTAGACATCTTCCAGGCATGTGAGTAAAACTAGCAGCAGTTCAGCGGACAGGATGAATGAATAGTAGCCGGTATGACGTCATACACACTCCACTTTGTTTTTAAAAATATAACTACTGACCATGTAAATAAGTGAAAATTATCCAGACTACATAGTAGTTCTATTGGATTATTGAACTTGTACTGCATGCATGGATGTACAGTACAGTGAAAACAAATGTGCATGTTAGACCATAAAGACTGTTTTAAGTCACCTTTGTCAAAGGATGATTATATTATTAAATTTGGGAGAATTGTTTTTTTTTCATCTGTGTGGAGGAATTTTGACCCACTATTCCTTAGCAAAATTATTATAGCTTTCTTACAATTTTTTTTTTTCTTTATGTTTTTATCAGTGCTTCCACTCCTTGGAAGGTCCCCAGCTCTTCCTTTTTTTTTAATCGGCAGATAATGGCTTTCTGGTATTTCATGAATTCTTAAAGCGTTGGTAACTGCTTTGGAACCTATCTAAGCTAAATTTTGATGTGAGGCAACAAAATAAGAATAACACCTGATCAACTATGATTTTGTTTCTCTGATGTGGCATTTAATCTAGAGGGATGATGTTTTTAACAGTCACTCAATTTTTAAACACAACAGTGTCTAAAGTAAGAGGCTTCTTCAGATCCGGTGCTACTGCTACATACAGTATGATCCTTCCTGCCTACGGCTTTCAGCACCTACAACACCTGGTTAACAAATAACCTATAAGTTTCTGCAAAATTGAATTTGCTTTTGAGATTAATTCTTTTTTTTTTTTTATCGAATTGAATTACTTCTCATTCTGGCTGCACAATGGGTAGCACGGCTACCCATTGTGCAGCCAGATCCGAGATCGAACCCAGATCCGAGACGGATCTGGGTTCGATTCTTTCTGCATGGAGTTTGCATGTTCTCTTTGTGCATGTATGAATTCTTGCCGGGTACTCCGGCTTCCTCCCACAGTCCAAAAACATGACTGTTAGGTTGATTGGCTTCTCTAAATTCTCCTTAGGTGTCAGTGTGTGTGAATGGTTGTTTGACCTTTTTGTCTCGGTGTTGCCCTGCGATGGACTGGTGACCTGTCCAGGGTGAACCCTGCCTCCCCTGACAGCTGGAGATAGACACCAGCACCCCTCACAACCCCAGCAGTGGTAAGCGTGAAGGAAAATGGATCGGTGGATGGACTTCTCATTTCTCTGCTCTAAAGTGGTAGTTCTGCAGAACAAGAAGTTGGACTGTTTGATTTTGCAACAGGGCAGTGATACCAGTTGTTTTCAGGGTAAGAGCTACACAGTGTGCAAGATGAATCCCTCAAAACCTAAACCATTAACATTGTTTAAAAATCAAGCACATGTAAGCTATAAGTAAAGCCCTTGGTTTAAAAAAAAAAGAATGATTGTATTTCTTAACTTTGTTGGTAGAAATATTGTGTACTTTGTGCAGATTAACTGAGACAGACGAGTCTCATGTTTATGTTTTTATTACAGTAAATTGCAGAGCAGCAGATCAGCTTCATGTAGAAAATTATGTGAAGCCAAGTCTTGACAACATGATGGACCTTTACATTTATTACACATCCAGACTCAACAGACATCTAAAACAACTAAAACAGTCACTTTTTTCAATTCAAAAGGTATGAAATAATGAGCATTATGATCAATGGCATGATACCCGGAAATAACCTAATTTGCAATAAAGAAAAACCAAAAATATGACAATGTATCAAGATATTGACTTTTTTTTTTTACATTATTGATTGCTGCAAGGTTATAGCTGTGAAAAGAGAGCACATCTTCATTTCTAAGATTTCATGGTCCAGTTTAAAGCTCTGGAGAGGACACACAGGAAGGCACTGGCTGTCTGAGGAAGTACATACAGTCAAAGACGTTGAGCAGAGGAAGATATTTTACACACCACATATGTAACACAAATATCATTGTCTTGTTTTATAAGATAGTTGTTTATTTTATAATGAGACACAGCTGTACAATAATTTAATGTCATGTGGTAGTGCTCAGTCCAACACAGTCTTAAACATATCTGAATGTAGGCTAAAAGTTATTTTTCCTGTACAGTTTATGTATTTTTTATTCCTGCTGCTTTATATGAGTGAGTGAAATTCCAAACTATAAGATTAAGTCAATTTTACAAAGGATTACATAAAAATCTGTTTTTGTTTTTGAAACAATTTGTATCTAAAAGTTTAAAACAAGGGAAACCTCAGAGCTTTGTCTTTGTAAAAGCCATGAAGCAAACTGAAGGTTTTGCTTCTTAAACGGGCCTGGTTTAGATCCCCCCCCCCCACCCAAATTTTTTTTTAACTCTATTATAATTAAATACAATAAATGTATTGCTAAAGAGATTTGACACATCCTATTGATGTTAAAATGGTGCTGATTAAATGTACTGGGTTTCACACACTGCTGAAATGGAAAGTAATTGCTAGATTTGCACATCATTACCAACTAGAAAAAACGCTTTTTCACCAAATGTGGCAGCCTCAAGAAAATAATCCTTCACAGGTCTAATAACATGTCATATTCTAAACCAAACAAAAGTCTTGCACAAGGTTTCTTTTAAGGCACACACCTGATTTTGAAACCAGAAAAGAAGTTTTGTGCTGTTTCTTCAGTCAGTTTCATTTGTCTTTGGTCTGTTCAAGGAAAATCCACAACAAGCAAAAGTGAAGTTTATTCCTCCTGTCCATTCAAAAGCCAGTAAACAGCAGCAGAAAGCTCTCACTCCACAATTCCATAAATCCAACATTTATCAACGTTTTATCCCATTTCCTTCTTCTGTAACATCACTGGGCCTCTTCGGTTAAAACCTACAAATCCATGTTTGATGACAAAGTCAAACAACTGGCAGATGTGTATAAAACTTTTGTTCTGCCTTTGCATTATGGTCCATTTGGTCAGTAAGCTCACTCGGAGGAGATACAGAAACACGTTTAAATGGTAAAAATGAAATTTGCACTTTTGCAATTTTTAAACTTCATGTGAATCCATAATTAGATTAACATATTATTACCAAAAATACACAGGCTGTTTTATATCCAAATACATGCAGTATGGTCATAAGGAACTAAGTGTGCAACACAGTGTTCTGTGGCACAAATTTAAAAAGCGACACAAAAACTGCACATAGATAACTCCAAGCTATGCAGCTACGGTGGAGAAAGAAAGATGGGTCTGAACTACACTTTTATGTCGTCCTATGAGTTTTTAACAGCTATAAGGTGTGCAGCTTCCTCTGCAATTACTTCAATTCCCCTAGAAACAACAATGACCTAAGCATAAACATCATTGATGATTAAATAAAATCTGACAAGGACCAAATCCACCTACAGTACTTGTAGCTACCGGTCCAAATCACTTCAAAGCATATACATAAGAACATAATGGTAGTGAAGGGAATTCCCAACATCTGGTAACACTGAGTTGTCTAAATACAAAACAAAAGCAGACGATTTCTATGAGGAGGTAATCTATTCTAAGTTTCCTTTATTACAAGAGCACTCTGATTGGCCCAAAGAGCAATGGAGCAGCATTTTATGGACTGATGAAGGCAAGATTATTCTTTCATTTTCGTTGAATGACCCCCCAAACACTGTTATGCCACACACAGTGTGAAGCATGGGGGCGATAACATGTTGTCATGTTATCATGGCGCAGGGATATCTTTGGTGGCCAAGATGTTGCATACAAGGGATAAAGAAACAAGAGTTTCCATGAAATATTGATCCTAAACACGTCAGCATTGGCATCATTATTGTTCTACATCACGACTTGCATATAGCAGCCGTCAGCATGACATACAGATGTTAATGCATCAGATTACAGTTAATTTTCCCAAATAAATTATTTGTTGCATTAGTAAGTACTTTTAATTGTTTACCTAATGGTTCTCACACAGGCTTCTGGTTAACAAGTCAACCTAACCAGTACAACAAAGTGACTTTTCTATCTACTTCACCAACTTGAAGCTCATCCCAGATGTTTCATTTAATTTGAATGTTTTCTGTCATTTTTGTGGACCCACAGTGAGGATGTTTGGTATTGTGTCTTCTTTGTGTTTGAGTCAAATGTCATCTATGGAAAGGTTCTTCCTTTGCATGTACTGCCGCAGGTACTGGATTGCTGAGAGAGCACTCACATTCGCCAGAAGAGCTGGACAACAATTTAGAAAAAAACATTTTAAGTATGATGTATATTCAGGTGCTTGTTTTTTGTTTTTGTTTGTTTTTCTTTCCCTCAAAGTATAAGAATTTCACACAAACACTTTAGAGCAAAAAGTCATATATACAGCTTTGCACGTAAGTTGTTCCACTTTGTCAAGGTTTTATAATGTCCCTCAAGTCATCCAATTAGTGTTTCTGTTAGACCTTAGTTTATATATATATATATATATATATATATATATATATATATATATATATATATATATAGAGAGAGAGAGAGAGATGTATATATGTTTTGAAATATGAGTTAAATCTTCCTTTTAAATTCCCTTGTCCATTGTTGAAATGATAGTGGAGATGGTTCCTACCTGCTTTCCAGGCATCTGCTTCCTTTGGATTGGAGGATCTCATTACCCATGAGGCAAAAGCAATGCAGACTAAACACAAATCTGACTGCTTCACTCTGGAGAAGATGCCTCCTCGTTCTTTGAGAGGAATAAAATAGACAAATATGTTGATTTCTGATTTGTAAGGAAGAAACTGTAAAATTGTCCAAAATTGAATAATCAAAACAAAATAGCAAATATGTGCAAATTAAAAGTTAATCTACAAAGCTCCTGTCTATTGGGACCTACTTGTCATCCAATAAGATGTTTCTGTAATCATCTGTTCCTCTTTCAGTTCCCTGAACTCCGGAGAAGAGTCCAGACAGACTTTTTCATCACTGAGCAAGGTAACCACTTGGTTCTGACTGCCGATCTGGATCTCCTTGGTTTGAAGAGGAAAGGTCCATGCACCTGACTCACTGCAGCAGATGCTGCCTTTGTCTGGGAAGCGAATTTTCCTGAAAGACAGAAAGCTTTTCCAGCAGGGAGATCCACCTGCACCTGCTGCTCCTGAGGCTCTGTGTGGATTGGCCTGAATAAATGAATGAGACAGAAGTCTCATCGGAGAGGCCTTGTTCTCCTCCTCATAGTCTGTGCTCAGAAAAACATGCGTATTTTGGAATGTGAGGTCTCGGACGGTAGGACGAGAGCAAGAGAAGATTGGGATTATTTTTTCTATGTTACACTGGAGTGGATCTTCTCTGAATATACAAAGAGGCGAGTGAAAGACGGGAGACACGAACATCTCCTGGAGAACATCAACAAGGAGAATCTGTGATTGTGTGTCATGTTTTGTAAAAAAGTATTCAAAGATCTCTGGGAAGGATGTCCTGTAATCCCGTGGGTCTGTGTGGGGTAATAAAGCATTCACAATCTGAGGTCTGTCAAGAGAAAAATCACTTTTATCAATACTATTGGAAGGTAGCAGGGGTAGGTCTTCTGTGTTGAGAGTTTGTATGTTGTACAAACTTCTGCTTTTTGTCATCCTTTTTGGCCATGAGATCAAACCTTGATAGTCCTGACAGTCCAATCTTTGGTCTAGAACAGCAGGAGTTTCTCTTCCTTCTGAATCTGTGTTGTCTTCCTCATATAACAAGCCAGAAGAGTCAATTTGTTGGGTTTTGTTCCTAAAATCAGGAGTGGAGTTTCTACTTCCATTCACAAACTGCCAGGACCCTTCCTCAAAATCTGAGGCTGAAAACTCCAAGACTGATCGATCTGGCTTGGATTCATCTGGCTGTGTGAAGTAGTCTGAGTCTGCAGTGTCAGATGTGTCAATTATTGGGTCAAGATTTTCAATTAGTTGACCAGGGTTTGCAGGTTGTCCGCATGTGCTTGGCATTACTGATTCTTCCTTAATTCCAGAGTTTCTGCCCATCCTTATCTGCAAAATATCGTTTATCGTCAGCTTTTCCACTTCATCCCAGAATGCAGAGATGGCATATACTGGCTGAGCCTGACCTGTAGCTTTGGCAAATGTTTCTGGTGTACAGCTAGGTGTGCGAGTTAAATCGTGAGCAGGTAGATGGCTGAGATAATCTTCTTTAGAGTCAGCAGATGCTAAAGCCAGTGGGGGGGTATCAGAACATGTGTCATTTCCAGATATGAAGTTTCCATCTGGCATTTCTGCACATGAAGAAGTGGAAAGGCTTTCAGGAGTAATATCATCTCTGCAGTTTGGTGCATTATAGGAGAGAGTCTGGCAGAAGTCCAGGTTGTCACATGTTGGGCTTAATGCACATTGCAAAGGAAGGTGTGTACTGAGACCTTCTTGAAGAGGATGCGCATCTTCTTCAACAGATTCGGCAGCTGACAAATAGGTCTCAGAATCCCAGCTGCCAGTGGAGGAGAGTTCAGCACCATCTTGAAGTTGTGAACTCCCTAAGGATGAGAAGCTGTCATAGGATTTGTCTGAATCTTCAGATTCCTTATTTTTGTTTAGCTGAAAATATCTTGATTGTTTTTGCTCTAGTTTGCGATCTGCTTTGTGAACATATCTTCTCTCACCATGTCTTTTTTGTTTGAGTTTTTTTTTCTCAGAGATGGAACGCCCTCGCCGACGTGCCATATTGTCATTCACTGTCACGAACCAGCGCTCTTTCTCTGCTCTGCCTGTGGGGTCTGGCTTGCTCATGCTCTGCACTGATTCTTTTTGGGAAAGCAGGTCAGGTGTCTTTGTGGCTTTGAAGTTACTCGTCATTTGCACAGCTCCATCTTTTGACAGCATCTCTTCTGAATTGCAAGTGATCTGAGGATTCTTTTCTAGCATGTTTGTGCTGCTGTCATTCATCTCGTGCAGAATTTCTTGTGCAATATCTTTGTGTGCAGACTCTATGGAGATTGCATTTCTTTCTGGACAGCCGACACATAGTTCCACCGGTTTCAAGGACGTTGCATCACACTGAATAGGCTGTGGTGGTAGATGAGTGCCATCTGTGTAGCTTTCCTCAGCTTCGTGACTATTTGAACTCTTGTTAGTGTTCTGCTGGCCTGTGTGGAAGTTTCCTGAATCCTCTGAGTCGCTGAGATCAGAGTCATCAGGGTAGGCAAGAGAAGCCTGCAGTAGATTACATTCCTCGCTGTCATCATAGAAGCTGCTCCAGTCATTCTCTGCAATGTGAATACTGTGATCCAGATCATCCATACTTGATGTCTTACATTACTATAAAAAAACAAAAAACAAAGAGAATATACAAACTTAGCTTCGGCCCAATTAAGAATGAACAATTCTTTTAGCACATATCCCCAGCTCAAATTTCCCACAGGTCTTAGTCTTTTTTGAAGTCCATTTTATAGCCATTAACAAAAAGGTTCACTGACATTCTAAATCATATCCCTCTAGAGTAGCAAGGTTTTACATATGGAAACTGTAAAACCATCTGATTGTAAATTAGGTAAATAATGGACAAAGTAGGGCATTGCAAAAGTATGCACCAAACATTTTTTTTACATTATGTCCCCCTAGAGGACAAATGACATATAGAACAGCAGGATGAAAAATAAAATAATGGGTATTTTCCCATAATTCTCCAGTCCTGGAATGTACTTATAATAAATTAACTTATTTCCCAGATAGTGTAGAATCCTTGACTGAGGTATGTGTGCTTGATACAATTGATCTAAATTTAGAGCAAGGCCGTTTTTCTAAAGGTTGTTATCACCTGCCATGTTGGAAAGGAACAAAGATGGCGTGCCTCTGTAGTGGCAATTGAACACTAGGGCATTACAGTCACGTGCAAATCCCCAAAATACCCCCACAGCTCTCTGTAAACAAGTTACATGATCTGGTATGGGGGAAAGGAAAGCAGTTATGCAACATATCAGCTTAACAAACAAGCTCAGTGAGATAAAACGCCGATACCCATATGCAAACCCTTTCAATCATATTTCCTTTATTCTATTTATTAAATCTTATATTATATAACATATATATATATGTGTGTGTGTGTGTGTTTTACTATCTCTGAGCAGAACTGCTTAACAAGCTTAAGACTCTTGATTCTAAACACCTATTCAGCTCTCAAAGCAAGGTCACACTGGTTTACATTTTTCATCAAGCATGCAAAGTTTTTTTTTTTTTTCCACACACTCCATTATTGAGTTTCAGCAGCAAAGAAGATCCTACCTGCTGCAGATGGATTAATCATCCAGTCTGAAAGTGCTCTCTGTGTTTTCCTGCAGGACATTTCAACTATGATATCTATCTGTCCTTGCACAAGTCACACTGAGGCCTTCTACTCCATTGGTATAAATAGAGCAACGTGTCTTTGTCACGTGTAGTTTCCATCTTCAGCAGAGGTGGGGCATCTTAGTTCCTAAAATAGTTATTGCTAATACTACAACTAATTATTACTGAAAACAATAATTTGCTTAAACCCAACAAGAGGTTTTAGGGTGTAAACACCTGTGGTGTTTTTAAAGCTAATTTCACATGTAACAGTTTTAATATAGACATCAGCCTGTTTCGATGCTGGCAGGGTACAATCAATGGCTGGATGAAAAGATAGTTTCTCTGTGTATTTCAAATTTATATCAAATTATTAAAAAGGAAAAACAAATACTTTTTGGTAAATAAAACTATGACATGGACGCCATTTACTGCGTCTTCTCTTCCTGAATGGTCCAATTACTTTTTCTTCATACATAAATACAAGCTGAACCAGATAATTAGTCGATAGAGATGACAGGTGTATAACAGTTCTCTCTCTCAACAAATTCATCTGATAATAATCTATGTATACAAATGGCACTCATATCGATGAATACTCACTGCAAAACAATTTAGAAATGAGTAAACATTTCTTAAATAAAGTGTATTTACCCTAAATTTCAGTAGGTAAATAAGATGATTTGCCAATGGAATGATCATTTTTACTCTTAAAATAATTAGATAATATGCACTTGAAATAAGACAATGCAATTCTGGTCCCATTTTAAATGTAAATGGTCTTGTTCCATTGGCAAAGTGTCTCACTTACCCCCTCACTTCAAGACAAATGCATTTATTTTAGGAAGAAATAACGTTAGATTTCAGTTTTTTGCAGTGCTCCTATCTTTGTCATTCGTTGCTTTAGTTGTTGAGATCTGACAGGTGACAGAAACCACCATGAGTGCTTTTTTTAACAAGGGTATTGAATGTTTTCTTCTTTTCTGTTTTTTTTGTTTTGTTGTTTTTTTACATGCCTTTAGGTGGAACTATACTGTATTTAAGTTATGTTTAAGATTGTATGTTTTTTCTTACAATATTCTTGAGGATTTTTTATTTTCTTTTAATTAGATCTTATAAGAGAAGGTACATTTACTATCTTAGCTGTAGCATTGTTGATTAAATGAAATCAACAAAGTGAGCAGATGTAAATACAGTCAGGTTAAAAATATTCACCTAATCACAAAAATGTCTAAAAAAAATTAATAAAAGTGTAAAAGTTCGAGTCTCAGGGACTAAAACTTTCAAAACAGACTGGATCATTTTAGTAACTGTTTAAAGAAAATACTTCTGGCTACAGAATATTTGAAACTAAGAAAGCGGTTCATCTCCTGTAGGGAAAACACAGCCAACTACCCTGGAGTGATCATCAAAGCAGATTTGTGTTAGATTTCGTTTTAACCATAATTTAACTACAAACTTGCATGTTTTGGATTTACATTGGAAAAAATATTTTGTTTAATCATGCATCAATTATTTGAACTTCAAAAGTATATTGGATTGTGTTGGCCTGCTGTGAACAAAATGAAGGATTATGGTAATAACTTAAAAGAGTTGTGGGAAAATAAAGACACAAGAGCCTCCCAGGATTTTCAGTCAACAATCAGTACAATAAAAAGCTCAAGGTGTCGATGGGGTTTGAAATTCTCTGTCCATTTCACCCACTGAACTATCGTTATTCATCTATGACAATGTAAACTCGGCTTTGCATTCTATGACCCCTTTAAAGACGACAAAAAACACTTCTTTAGAAAGTTAATCAAAAAACAAAAAAGCTGCAGTTTTATTGTAGAAAGGTGATTTATTTCTGCAAATTATACATCTTTAAAACTTTTATCATGGCACTAAAACAAGAAAATGTACATTACAAAAACACTCCATTTTTATAAAACAATATGCGAATTTTGAGCTTTTCTGTACAACAGTAATTAGCAGTAGCATAAAGGAACAATAGCTAAGGAATGACTGACGCAGGTGTAGCTTATTTGCAAACCACAAAAGTATCTGTACACCAAAGGGTCAACTTAATGGAACAGAAAAAAGACAAAAGTATACAACCAAGAAAACTTGTATAAGGATTATAGATACAGTAAAGGCCACTGGAAGCGAATCAAAAATCCAATCCATCACAGATACATCACTAAAAAAAGATAATCTGCTGTATTTAAAGCTAATAATGGCACACAAATCACAGTCATGTCAACAAGCCATTTTGGTAAATGAAATAGACAAAAGAAGCCCATAACTGGACAAAAAAAAAAGAAAACAGCTATACTTGCACAGCTGAAAACATTAAAGTGCACATAGGTCCGCCAACATTGCTTAAAAGTGATAAAAGTTTGGATTTAAACTAAATGGAAATATTTTCTGAATAAATACCCAATAAATATTCCGATTATGACAGCCAGTGGAATGCAGTTAGTGACGACTACACAATGCGCTCACACTAATACCCCTCCACTGGTTACTAAAATAAATACAATGGCAACATAAAAACAACAAAATTCAGAACAAAGAAATATTGATCTATACAGTGCTCTTGGGACTTCTCTTTGATATATTGTGGCCCAACAGTAGTCATTCAAACTCAGTGCATACATACAACGCAAGAATAAAAAATCAGGTTTAGTAGAAAAAAAAAAAAAAATTGTTTCCTGTCGAATGTTAATAGACTGTTTGTTCCACAAATATCACAGATAAAAGTAACTTTCATTTGTTTAATGATATAGATGCATTAGCTGAGTTTACATTCAGAAGCAGATTAAAGACGGTTTATTTAAAAGGCTTTTTCTTTTTGTTTAAGCAGCTTTTTCCTTTATTTTTACAACTTTTAAAAGCTCTGAAAAAGGGTCTGCAAAAACCCTCTTGATTCTTGGCACTTATTTTATTGTAGTGACCCTGGGAAAACAGAATTAGAAATTGGAAATCGATCAGGATAATTGTATAACAGTGTCTCAACTAAAAAACAAAAACAGTTTTCAGGTAAATTCAGAGCATCAGTAGGACAGGTTCACTGTTACAAACATAAATGGCGTCAGCCTTTGTGAGACCAAGGCAGGAGCAGCAGCAGTAGGTACATTTGGCCTACATTCCCAGAGTCAGCTTGTTTTCCTTCACATCAGACTTGGACATCCTTCCTGAGCTTTCTTCAACCTGCACCCAAACCCTTCCTTCCCCTACGCATTATACACCTGAGTGGTAGCTGAGGTGGGTATGGTGGCGCTGTTCAGAGTCGACGTTGTAGGTGGACGCTCCCGTCTTACGTATCTAGGCTTCCTCACTGCAGAAGAGAAACAGATAATTACCCAGCATCATGATGCTGATACACTGATGCTGTATTTGTTAAATTATGAAACCTTATGTATGGAAGATAACCTGTTAGAGGCTGCAAAAGACTTGTTTTAGGTAAGTGAAGGGGGGATTGCAATAGAAATTAAACAGCCCCTCAGAGTGAAAAACTAAGTATATTGATTAGGCACCTTTCACACATAAAGCAACCACAAAGCACTGTCCAAAAAAAAGTATAATTTGCAATTAAATTAAATAAAAAACAAAAATAAAAATTCAATGGCCTGCTTCTTAAAAGGGTCAACAGATTTAACTAAATGTAGCTGCAGAGGTAGACTACTGTATTCCACAGCCTTGGTGGAATCGACTGAACGGCTTAATCCCCATTTGTATTCAATCTGATTTGAGAACAACCCACAAAATCTGAGCTTGTGAACAGAGGGAAATAATCTGTTATTGTATAAGATTACATAGGAAATCTGGGGTGTGGGTATTTAGTGTTTGTTCTGTTATGGTGCTGAATTTTTAAAGAGTATTCTGAAGCATTTTGTAGAGCTTGGAGTAAATAGAGACTGAGGCCTCTTTCCTACTGAAATTAGCAGGTTAAGACGTGTTATCCAAACATGGGTCAACTCCTTAACACTCTGCATTTGGCTCCTTTCCCACTGGCAAAAAAAGAAGAGGGAAATGAAGCAAGAACCTGACTGATTTTTGAACCAAGTCCAGGAGGCGCTATAACCATTGTCTGGGTGTTTTGGGAGCGATAAACAAGGTAGTTGCAAAAAAAGACAATTACCAATCCTGGATAAACAGTGACAAGGGTTGGGAGTCTACCCAGCTGATAAGGCTCTAAAGAAATGTATAGTTGAATGTGACCTGCATAAAAGTGATAAGAAATATTATTAAAAGATTAAAAACCACCCAAAAAAAGTATATAAAAAGAGAGGACCAAAACCCAAGCTCTATGGAACCCCACAGGTTAGAGAGGAAGTTGAGACTTATGAAAAAGTTTGGGCTATGTAATAAAATAAAACCAGTAAAAACCCATGCCACACTTTTCAGATCCTATTTTTCAACAATATGAAAATGAGGTTTTCCCAACACATAACAATCCATACAATAGCATATTATGAATTCCACAATGTGCAATAACCAGTTAATGCTGCAGTGACGACATCACTTGCAATATGACTAAATACCTTTGTGTGTAGAAGTTTGAAAAGACTAATGTGCACAAAGTACCAATTATTTCACACAGTCTACATACATGTGGTAGAGTTGAATTTTACATACAAATTATTTTAAAATTTTAAGGACAGAATTTAATACAAATTGTAATAATGCAGCTAAATAAACTGGAATATTGAAGAGCAGTGAATACTTTCCAGATGCAATCCAAGTATCCAGAAGTATGCTGTGATCATTTATTTCTGCTCCAGATTCCTAACAAAACATGAATTATAGGCTATGCATTTGTGAAAATGTGACATGAGAGGAGTAACTATGTGACAGGATGTGGTACATTTTGTTTTTAAGACTGACAAAGCACATGCAGCTCATTGTATTGGTGGACATCATGTTTTTTTTTAAGCCAGACACTATCCAACAGCTTCTGTTATTCTTCTGCATCGCTCTAATGTTTTGTCACTTGAGAGTCACTGACAGCGTGACAACTGTTGCCCTACACTATATACGGCTCGGTGGGAAGAAGTCTTCATATCAAAAAGCTTTGGAAGCGAAACAAAGCCGCTGTATGGAGTTGCTTTGAGTGGGCAGTCAGGAGAATGTGCAGCATCACAGCTCCTCTATGTGACAATCTAACGTGTGTAGTTGTTGCCTGATGCTAAACTAGCTCACAAAACTTGCTACAACCTGTTCCCCTTCTTCATCCCAATGACAGAGGGAGTCAACTATAAAGGCAAAGATATCCACGGACACTGCATACAGAGTCTGTTAGATGTCCCAACGTCTGCTAATATGGTTTCTGTAGTGCTAGACTTTATTTTTATTAAAATCAGCTCTTTTTGGTTGTATTTAAGGTGACAATGGACACTAGCAATGTTTCCTCTTCTGCTTGCTGAGAGCGCTCTAGACAACTTGCAGAGTACATTTCTTTTTAGAGCATTTGTTGGTCCATCAGAACATACAGAGTTTTATGGTTGTAATGTGTGCCTAATATGTCTGAATATTTTTGCAAGGGACATAAATGTAATCTAGGGGATTTCTAATTGGTGTTTTGAAACCTGTGCAACAGGTACTTCCACACAACTGATTAAAATAAAATCTTTGGACAGTTGCAAAATGTCGGCAGCAATCCCAAACATTCAAGGCATTGCTAACTTGACACCAAAACCTGTTGAGCAAGAATAGGACACTTTACTGACAGTGTCGTCTTACCTGATGAGGAGGGGATCATAACTGCCTATAGGGGACAAAAACAAAGGCCATGAGCCTTTTATCAATGTTCACATCAAATTAAAATGTTTGGAAGAAGAATGACTTACTGTCTCACTTGGTTGAAATATAAACGCTGAGGAAAAAACAGGAAATGATCTTTAAAATCTCTAGAGCACCCTGGCATGCTTGTGTTTTTCCTCAAAGGAGATTTGTTCATGTTCCAAGTCAGAAACCTGCGGTACTCACCTTTGTTCCGCCGATAGAAGAAACCAGGCAGCCGGTTGGAGCGTTTGAGGTAGAAAAAGGAGGCAACAGTGAGGATGAGGAACATGCTGATCAAAAGGGTTCCTAGAAGGACAGAGGCCGCCACACCAGGGCCTCCTGCACCAAAACAGGAAACAAACCTGATTCAAAAAAGGCAAAAAAAAAAAAAAAAACTGTGAGAGAAAAACTGGGAGATAATTTCAGCTTCTTACCAATTTTAGGAATGACCGTCGTTACTGTTGTGTGGTTTTTACGGTCCAATGTGTAGTCTAGAAATTATAAAAACAAGGTCCAGTTATCCATCCATTAACACTCACCCAAAACAATGTAGATTTAAAAGCTCTTACTGTACGTGCAGACGGTTACATTCTCTAAATCCACCGCTGCCGAGTCACAGAATATGCAGACAGTATTGCTGTTCTCCAGCACACGATAGAAGCAACCTGGAAGATTCAATCACAGAAAACTTAAACATATGGGATCTTTGATGATATGGGTTCAGCATATTTAACAAAAAGGAGCAATAATTAGAAACCAATGTTCAAAATACAGTGCTTTGGGTTTGAAGTTAAAATTTAAACTGAAGTCTCCATGAGCACAGGAAAGGGACATGGCTTTTGATTTCTTTACTCTTTTACTTGTCTTTCCCATTTCAAATTTCCCCTTAGCATTTTATGTGAGCAATAAATAACTGCAGTGGAGGCAGAGTGCTAAACCAATTTTAATATTTCCTATAGGGTGTTCGTACATGTTGGGCCAGTTTAATGCGATAACTCAGCCCAATAAATTGCCTTCAAAAATCGCCAAATCAGGGATTTTAGTTTGGGATGTACACTATATTGCCAAAAGTATTTGCTCACCTGCCTTGACTCACATATGAGCTTAAGTGACATCCCGTTCCTAATCCATAGGGTTCAATATGACGTCGGTCCACCCTTTCCAGCTAGAACAGCTTCAACTCTTCTGGGAAGGCTGTCCACAAGGTTTAGGAGTGTGTTTATGGGAATTGTTGACCATTCTTCCAGAAGCGCATTTGTGAGGTCGCACACTGATGTTGGACGAGAAGGCCTGGCTCTCAGTCTCCGCTCTAATTCATCCCAAAGGTGTTCTATCGGGTTGAGGTCAGGACTCTGTGCAGGCCAGTAAAGTTCATCCACACCAGACTCTGTCATCCATGTCTTTATGGACCTTGCTTTGTGCACTGGTGCACAGTCATGTTGGAAGAGGAAGGGGCCAGCTCCAAACTGTTCCCACAAAGTTGGGAGCATGGAATTGTCCAAAATGTCTTGGTATGCTGAAGCATTCAGAGTTCCTTTCACTGGAACTAAGGGGCCAAGCCCAGCTCCTGAAAAACAACCCCACACCATAATCCCCCCTCCACCAAACTTTACACTTGGCACAATGCAGTCAGACAAGTACCGTTCTCCTGGCAACCGCCAAACCCAGACCCGTCCATCAGATTGCCAGATGGAGAAGCGCGATTCGTCACTCCAGAGAACGCGTCTCCACTGCTCTAGAGTCCAGTGGCGGCGTGCTTTACACCACCGCATCCGACGCTTTGCATTGCACTTGGTGATGTATGGCTTGGATGCAGCTGCTCGACCATGGAAACCCATTCCATGAAGCTCTCTGCGCACTGTTCTTGAGCTAATCTGAAGGCCACATGAAGTTTGGAGGTCTGTAGTGATTGACTCTGCAGAAAGTTGGCGACCTCTTCGCACTATGCGCGTCAGCATCCGCTGACCCCGCTCCGTCAGTTTACGTGGCCTACCACTTCGTGGCTGAGTTGCTGTCGTTCCCAAACACTTCCATTTTCTTATAATACAGCTGACAGTTGACTGTGGAATATTTAGGAGCGAGGAAATTTCACGACTGGATTTGTTGCACAGGTGGCATCCTATCACAGTTCCACGCTGGAATTCACTGAGCTCCTGAGAGCGACCCATTCTTTCACAAATGTTTGTAAAAACAGTCTGCATGCCTAGGTGCTTGAATTTATACACCTGTGGCCATGGAAGTGATTGGAACACCTGATTCCAATAATTTGGATGGGTGAGCAAATACTTTTGGCAATATAGTGTATACAGATGACACAGCTCTCCATCTCTTCTGAGAAGCCAGACCAGAGGAGCAGTCGGCTGAATCTCAAATCGCCCCCTAACTACAAACCCTTAACTATCAAGTGTCCCTCGCAATGAAGTCACACTCACAGGTGCCTGGATTGTACGGGGGGGGGGTATAAACATGAATGGGACGGCCTCTTCTCTCCAACAGAAAGGGAAAGCAGTCGTTCCTATGGCAACACAGAGATGCTCCATGTGCATGGCTGTAGCTCATGCAGCATCAAACATTTGCCATTTTCTTTAAAAAAAATAAATGTATCAAGTGAAATAACTATTTCAAAGAGAAACTTAAATTTAGGGATTAATTATGTCTTTTTTGGGTTTTTTTCCCCGTCAGTGTGACGAAGAAGCAGCAAACCAGCGGAACTAACATTTGAATCCACGCGTTTCCTCAGCCATTAATTCGCTGTTACACCTGCTGCTAAATTCCAGCGAGCCTGCACCGATGCAGACACTATTTAAGGGCTGAACTGTTCACTGGCCCTACTCACTACATGGCTTGGAATGGCCCTTAATGTGACAGACCCTCTGCAAGAACATGCAGAAGGTTAGTTCTTAGTGTTAGTGTTTAGGGGCCAGTCTAGGATTCAGCCTTAGTGTCCATGTTAGAGACATGGTCATCATGGGTAAAGTAAACTATGGAGAGTGCATCCAGAAGGCATTCACGCTGCTGCACTTTACCCACATTTAGTACTGTTATCTGGTAAAGTACAGCATAGCATTCTGAATGCATCAACCTATGCACACCATCCAAATACCGAGACACGGGTGTGGCAGCATCATGCTGCAAGAAAGCTTTTTTTTTTTTTTTTTTTGGGGGGGGGGCATGGAGAAAAAGATCATATTTAATGGAAAGATTAGAGGGAAATTCAATAATTCAATATTTTGAATAAAAGTGGTAATAGACTGTGAAAGATTTAAGAATGAAGAGAGGAATCCTCTTTTAGCAGGACAGCAACCTTAAATACCTTAGCTACAACCGAATGGTTCAGATCAAAGCCTATTTATGTGTTAGGATGGCCTATTCTAATTCAAAACCTAAAAGCTAACGGAACTAACTGAAATATCTGGAGCAAGACTTACAAAGCTCACTGAGCATGAGCTGTGTTAAAAGCACATTTTATTACATTGAGCACTGAATAAAAACATAGTAAACACTAAACATGCTGGTTGTGGTGGAATAAATGGAGGATAACTGCTTTGACTGAAAACGACCCACTACCTGGTTCACAGTGAGTGTCATTTGAGCATGAATTGTTCCCTCTCTGTTTCTCTCCGCAGCACTCCAGTGAGTTCTGATGTAGGGCCTTAAAGCAGAAGACAAGGCATCAAATAATGAAGCTGTAAAACCTAAACTGCATGCAGTGACAGCAGGTTAGTATCATTAACTCTTTACCTTTGTTACAGGGGTTTCTGGTCTGATCAGGATAACAGAGGCAGCCAAGACCAAAAGGAATGACAAGCCCATACTTGAACCCTTGGGAGTGAAACATATTTTATTTCGACAATCATCAGTAGCAGTGTTAACATTGAACATCAAATTCTGAATTATGTTTTTACAAAATTAAATCCACTAAATGGAAACACTGCAATGTAGAACAAAAACTCAATAAAATGTTCGTTGCCTTTGATGGGCTGTTTTGTTTTCCATTCATCTGCAATTATTATATTCTGCAAAACTGCAATGAAAACACTTTTTCTCCCATCACACCAGTCACATGATCTAAAACTGGACCTTACATGAATAAGAAGACCAGAGGTAGTTGGAGGATAATGGTGCAGCACATTTGGATTCATGAGGAGAGTTTTTTTTAACATTTAGTCTGCAACAAGCGTGTTGACCACTACTGCCATGGCTGAAAAAATGGACATACACTATATTGCCAAAAGTATTTGCTCACCCATCCAAATTATTGGAATCAGGTGTTCCAATCACTTCCATGGCCACAGGTGTATAAATTCAAGCACCTAGGCATGCAGACTGTTTTTACAAACAGTTGTGAAAGAATGGGTCGCTCTCAGGAGCTCAGTGAATTCCAGCGTGGAACTGTGATAGGATGCCACCTGTGCAACAAATCCAGTCGTGAAATTTCCTCGCTCCTAAATATTCCACAGTCAACTGTCAGCTGTATTATAAGAAAATGGAAGTGTTTGGGAACGACAGCAACTCAGCCACGAAGTGGTAGGCCACGTAAACTGACGGAGCGGGGTCAGCGGATGCTGACGCGCATAGTGCGAAGAGGTCGCCAACTTTCTGCAGAGTCAATCACTACAGACCTCCAAACTTCATGTGGCCTTCAGATTAGCTCAAGAACAGTGCGCAGAGAGCTTCATGGAATGGGTTTCCATGGTCGAGCAGCTGCATCCAAGCCATACATCACCAAGTGCAATGCAAAGCGTCGGATGCGGTGGTGTAAAGCACGCCGCCACTGGACTCTAGAGCAGTGGAGACGCGTTCTCTGGAGTGACGAATCGCGCTTCTCCATCTGGCAATCTGATGGACGGGTCTGGGTTTGGCAGTTGCCAGGAGAACGGTACTTGTCTGACTGCATTGTGCCAAGTGTAAAGTTTGTTGGAGGGGGGATTATGGTGTGGGGTTGTTTTTCAGGAGCTGGGCTTGGCCCCTTAGTTCCAGTGAAAGGAACTCTGAATGCTTCAGCATACCAAGACATTTTGGACAATTCCATGCTCCCAACTTTGTGGGAACAGTTTGGAGCTGGCCCCTTCCTCTTCCAACATGACTGTGCACCAGTGCACAAAGCAAGGTCCATAAAGACATGGATGACAGAGTCTGGTGTGGATGAACTTGACTGGCCTGCACAGAGTCCTGACCTCAACCCGATAGAACACCTTTGGGATGAATTAGAGCGGAGACTGAGAGCCAGGCCTTCTCGTCCAACATCAGTGTGCGACCTCACAAATGCGCTTCTGGAAGAATGGTCCAAAATTCCCATAAACACACTCCTAAACCTTGTGGACAGCCTTCCCAGAAGAGTTGAAGCTGTTCTAGCTGCAAAGGGTGGACCGACGTCATATTGAACCCTATGGATTAGGAACGGGATGTCACTTAAGCTCATATGTGAGTCAAGGCAGGTGAGCAAATACTTTTGGCAATATAGTGTATATCTCATCTAAGTGTTTTAAGTTATCATGTGAACAAACATATTCATGTCAAATGTTTTATTGCATTTCTTATTTAATGGAAATTAGCATAATATCAACATAGTTTTCTGTACACATTTGTAATAGAAGTGCAGCTTATGTCACATCTTGCTTTGTGACACAACACTAATGTTTACTTTGAGGTTTCTTGCTTTTTGTGTCCTATCCTGGAAAAACTACAGAAAAAGGGCTGCCGTTTACTCCTCCAGTGGTCTTTAAAAGTGTTAGCCTGTAACAGCTTCTGTTTTGTTTATCTCAAATATCTTTAGATGCAGATGTGCACATAAACTACAGGAGCTGCAGAGGAATCAAAACCACCAATGCAGTAAGTTATCAAGCTTCACATTAAGTATATATCACACAACCAAGTAAAGGTCAAAAATAAAATAAACAGCAAACAGCACCTGTAATCTATCTGTAGATTTTAGAGGATTATATGCTTCCGTCTGCCATAAAACTTGATGGGTAAATTTTTTTACCTGCATTTTTTAAACTTTTCAATTGACAATCATGGTTTGGAAGATTGTTTCTTTTTCTCCTACCCTCTCACATTTACATGTTTTTGGTATTAAATTAGGTCCCAGTTCAATACGCTTATTATTTAGTAAAAAGAATTTAAAAATTAGGTTAAATTAAGTGCGGATCGGGTTCTGCAATCCAGCAGCAGCAGGGAACATTTAAACTAACGCGGGGGAAAAAATACAAAAAAATGCTGAAATGCTGGAAATGTACGTTTTTAATCGTTTAAATAAGCAAGAAAAAGAAGTCACATCTTTCAGTGCTTGACGAATCGGTCAATCCGGTCTGCTGAGCCCAGAGGCATAGCCAGAAATTTTTTTACAAGGGTGGCCAGGCAATAACCAATGTACACTGAGGGGTGGCCAAAAGTAGATAGGCACCAAAACCTCATGGTCAATCTACTGTTCCAACAGGAAAATTAACAGGCAAAACATCCATATTTTCTAAAAAAAGACAAACTATACTTTCCCACAGCCTTCAAATAGATGAATATACTCAAACATCTGTGCTTTCTAAATAAAAGGTATAGTGGATAAAATTCTTTCAGGTTTGAGTTTTGGGCGAACGTCTTCTCCATTGTCATTACTTACCTACTTTTATCAATAATCATTTAGCAAAAAATTGATATTGACAAGTACTAATATCTACATAAATTGATTACTTAATACGTTTTTATTAAAATTGTTATTTATCTATTTCACTGAAGACTCCTAGATGACTTGCAGAGACACATAATTTTCTCTTTACCACATAAAACACAAAATCTACTTCTGCTTGAATTCTATACTTATCATTTTTAATGTTATAATATTCATGTGCATAATTAACCACAGTGTTTTTGTTGTCAAGTTATTGTTAATACATGAAAAATTTAAATGTTTTCAATATTCCACTTGAGATTATTACTCTTGCCACCATCTGTATTAGAGGGAATAAAATGGTAGGGGTGGCCAATGATTGACTAAGGGTGGCCATGGCCCCCCCTGCCCCCCCATCTAGATCCGCCCCTGGCTGAGCCCATCTACAGAAGATTTGGCCATTTTAATAAACAGCCTCACACCAATTGTAAAAAGGCCATACATTTTATTAGCACATATATCACTCTTTTAGTTAAATAAATTTAGGGTTTTTTGTTTAAATCACCAAAGCTTTCTATTATTTCTTTAACAAAGATGCTTTAATCTCTGCTAGATTGAGGCTATATAAAATGTTGATAAAAAAAATAGGGCAAGTTGTAGCTGCCAACGTCTCGTCTTTTAAAATAATGTATTACTTAAGATCGTTTAAACAATCAAATATTATCGAAAGAAAATATGTTAGACGGCTTAGAGATAAAATAAGCTAACAAACTGCTTTTTAAACATTTCTCTGCATCTCTGGCGGATGAAGCCAGGTTGTAAACAGAGGAGCAGCAGGTCTGCGGACTGACCTATCAGCTGTTAGCTAGCACCTGTCATTGAATGAAGCAATAGCCTCAAATTGCGAGCAAACAGAAATCTGTTGTTAAAACCAGCGATACACAGACACATTAGAAAGTGGAAATAAATCTGCTTCACCTGATCTGGTTAAATCGCGGCTACAGGTTCTGCTGTTTATCAGCGCTGCAAAACGAAAGGAAAGTTCCCAGATGAGCAGGACTGCAGGCTTCAGCCTGACCTAAACTCACCTGTACCGGTTAAAAACCTGCTGGTCTGTTCTGCAGCAGAGCCCTTACCACACAGGCACCGGTGTTCGTGAGTGGATTTGACATGGACACACGCCTCTTCTCCTCAAACGCTCTCCAGACAGATAATCTTATGACTCGGAGGACCCCAGCTTTGAAAAAACAAATGCATCAGTTACTTCCGAAAAAGGTTTTCAAAATAAAATCCACACACGACTGCCTACTTCTACTGTGCATCAGTAACTTCCGGAAACGGTTTTCAAAATAAAATCCACACGTGAGGGCCACCTTCTACTGCACTGCTATATGATTCAACGTTTGACGCTCCTATTTTACTTTATCTTTGTTTCCAAAACAAAACAAAAATCGAAAAAGTGTACGGATATACTTAAATGTGCACGCTGATGATAATAAATTAATATAAATATGACTATCTAAAATGCGTCTATTATAATTTGAGCTGTGTGTTTGCAGAGCTGCTGAAGTTTAAAATTCTCATTTTACTAAAACAGCTTTCAGCAATTTCCTGTTTTCGTTGAATTCTTCTAATAAATAGAAATGAGTAGTCCCCATGCCTTTGTTATAAAGAGCCAATCCCATTGCATTATGGTTCCACCACTGACCTACAATATTGAGATTGTGTGTCTAATGCGCAACATTTATGGAAGAGGATTAGGGCCACTGAAAAAACAAAAAAAGTTAATTGATTTTTTTAAATTATTATTATTTCAGCATAATATGAGAAAAAAGTTAGAATTCTGACTTTAATCTCAGAATGTTTGATCTTAAAGGAATAGTACACCCAAAACATGATTAGCCTTCATTTTCTACTCACCCCCATGCTGAACAACACTCTGGAGTACTTTTTTGATATCTCAAATGCATCTGGAGATCTGGGAGGCTTCTTGTTTTAATGACCCTCTGCTCCTCAAATAATGAAATAGCATCACCAGCGACCCCTCGGACACCTAAAAAGTTGCCTAATTGCGTCATTTTTCACCGATGTGTTACTGGCCCTTTGTCAGTGAAGCTGAGTGCTCCCACATCTCTTCTTTCATGGTGCCCATTTACATTAAAGGAATAGTACACCCAAAACATGATTAGCCTTCATTTTCTACTCACGCCCATTCTGAACAACACCCTGGAGTACTTTTTTGATATCTCAAATGCATCTGGAGATCTGGGAGGCTTCTTGCTGTCTGCTGACATTCAAATAATGGAGGTGCCCAGCGCCCGAGGCAGAAAGGTCCATAAAAGTCCACAAAAAACGTTTCAATATTCCTCCATACTGCTCGTCCAATGTATTCCAAGTTTCCTGAGTGGGTAGCATCCAGAATTTACTCGAAACGAGGTCATTTAGAATGTTTTTAGAGCATAAACAGTAGTGTATAGGATTTCCTGAAAGCGCGCACATGCGCGATCCCGATTCTACGGAAGCCGGCAGACCAAACCAGCGCATTCAGCTCGGCAAAGAACTCATGCTCTTCCTCAACACTGAAGTCCTCAGACATTTTTCTTTCGTTGTTTCTTTCTTTGCACAGGTAAACGGCACATTTCTTCTTCTACGCTTGCATTATTGGAAGAGCAGATGCTGAATGCGCACTTTAATCTGGTTTGGTCTGCCGGCTTCCGTAGCGTCGTGATCGCGCATGTGCGCGCTTTCAGGAAATCCTATACACTACTGTTTATGCTCTAAAAACATTCTAAATGACTTCGTTTCGAGTAAATTCTGGATGCTACCCACTCAGGACACTTGGAATACATTGGACGACCATTATGGAGGAATATTGACAGTTTTTTGTGGACTGTTATGGACCTTTCTGCCTCGGTCACCATAGACCTCCATTATTTGAATATCAGCAGACAGCAAGAAGCCTCCCAGATCTCCAGATGCATTTGAGATATCAAAAAAGTACTCCAGGGTGTTGTTCAGAATGGGCGTGAGTAGAAAATGAAGGCTAATCATGTTTTGGGTGTACTATTCCTTTAATGTAAATGGGCACCATGAAAGAAGAGATGTGGGAGCACTCAGCTTCACTGACAAAGGGCCAGTAACACATCGGTGAAAAATGACGCAATTAGGCAACTTTTTAGGTGTCCGAGGGGTCGCTGGTGATGCTATTTCATTATTTGAGGAGCAGAGGGTCATTAAAACAAGAGATCTAGTCTCTAAAACAGACATGGCTACAGCTTGATGCTGACACATTTGTTAGCTGTCAGAATTCTCAGATTAAAGTCAGAATTCTTACTTTTTATTCTCATATCAAACTGAAATAATATTTATAAATCAGTTAACTTTTTAAAAAATTTTCAGTCCCCCTAATCCTCTTCTACATTATATGCTTTGTGTAAAGGCTGAAATTATAAAAAAAAAATACAGAAAGCCTTATAAAGGAAATTAATACACTTAAAAGATGTGTTCATTATAATAACTAATAAAAATATAACTTTATAGTTTTTGCGATTAGAACACAGAAGAAAATTGTGTTTTGTATTGATGGGGTGAATTTTGAATGAGTGCATGAAGTGAGATTACTGGGTGTCCTATTGAATGATACATTAACATGGAAAAATCACATTGCATAACTTAGATCTAAGGTAGCAAAACACTTTTATTTTTAATAAGGAAAAGCACAATTTGGATGCTAATACATTTATAATTCTGTTTTGTGCTGATCTTGGCATACATTATGTATGGTTTGATTGTGTGGGGCAATACTTATAAATTACCTTCATATCTATAATAGAAAAAAGCCATAAGAATAATATATAAAGTATAAAGAACCTACACAATTGTAATGTATATATATATATATATATATATATATATATATATATATATATATATATATATATATATATATATATATATATATATATATATATATATATATATATATATACATATATATATATATATATATATATATATATATAAAAGTATGCATGACTAAACAATACATACACCGAATTGTAGAAATGCACAAACTAGAAATAAAACAATTTATTTAGAGTGAATTACACACTGCGGTGAATTATGTATCCCATCAGGCCAATGTTGTAAAACAATTTCACCAAGAATTTGAGTCAGTAGGTCACATGACCTGGAAGATATTGAAGAAAAGTCCCAACTTTTGTCTTTAAGAATATCTTAAAAATAGCTTAAAATCACATATAACTAAGTGTATCTTACATATGTTATCTATTGGCATGATTTTATATTAGTTTCGTCTTAGCTGGTCATAAGAAAAGGTCTTTATTGATTTTTGTTTCTCCAGAGTGCTGGTTCAAAGATTTGTTGACGGTCTCTAAATGCACCACCGCGTGTGGGAGGACGGAGCAGCAGCGAGACGCTAGCCGACATCAGAATCCCTCTGTCTGATCAACCGTTTGCTAGACCCCGCTGACTCAGCGGAGCGGTGAATTACACCGGAGGGTTTATGTACCATTGTCATCACTGGAAATGAATGATTAGCTATTAAAGTAAAGGGGACATGTGCAAATATACTAAAAGTTTTGGTTAAGATTGCTTGATTTATAGTTGTTATTATTATATCAACAGACCATATAATGAGCTGCAGATATGTCTCATTGTACCATATTAAACAAGCTTTTAAATTCTAAATCGTAAATATGACCAGGAAGGGAACAGAAAACAAATAGCATTACTACAGAGCCCGTCTTAGATCTGTTTCTGTGAATTTTAGCTCCTTATCCAGTTACATCCGCATAAATAGTAGGATTATCCTTTCGATAGTCAGCCCTTTTTTCCACGGCCCTTGAACGCAGCTTCGAATGTAAATGGCGGGACATTTGAAAAGGCTAATAGCTAATAGCTTAAAAGTTTTTTTATATTGCTAGGCACCTGTGAGTTGATTCCGGGAAATAATATCTTCAGGTTTTTCATCCACACTTTGGATTTTAGATTTCACACATATATGTGGATGACTTTTTTGTAACTTGTAGCATCTTTTTGTTTAGCCTTCTTGAACGAAGTAGCATAGCAAGTTAGCTTGCCTAAAGTAAAGCTAGCTTCCTTTGTGCTGGAAACACAATGAGTTATATGAAGAACATAAAGGAAATGTTGAACATACCAACTGGACCCAGGTGGTTAGCCATTTTCATATTGTTTCTTGTCAACCACAGTTGATAGTTAATAAGCTGATAATTTGGGTTAAAGTTTCTATTTAATGACAGGTTCTATTTATTTATTACTGTAATGGTTGTTTGTTTTTCCCTCAACAAACTACATGATGGTGACTAACTAATGGGCAGAAATGTGGCAGACAGTGAAAACTCAGGTTTGACAGATTCCCAGGTGTTCTTTGGCTCCCAGTTTTGGCATGAGCAGTCCCAGGGGATGTCTCAGGACACGAGCCTGTCATCCAAAAACTCCCAGCAAAGTTCACAGGATGTGAGTGACTCACTCATGCACAGATATTTTCAATATATTTCAATAGAAAAGTTCATTTGTTTAAAGGAAAAGTCAGCTCATATTCAGAATTCAAACTTCTGAGAGTACTTTAAATATTAAATTATTTCACAATGTTCAATAAATAGTGAGTTTTTAATTAAGAATAATTTCATTTGAATGTGTTTTGCTGGAGACATCCAAGTTTGACAAAAGAACACTACTGCCAATTACCGGTTTGTGATGTCACGGTGCCGTATCGGCTGTTGAGCAAGTTCCTATGCTGTATTTGGTGTTGTATTATCCAAGTCATCTTGAAAACATTCTTCTTCGAAATGTTGGCGACATATTACGCATTTTTTTCTCTGGCCAGAAGCTCGATGGCAAATCCTCCCTCTTTAAGTTGGCAATCTGATGACAAACGCGTCCGTGGAGGATCATTAATTTCGGAAAGGTGGAATAACAAATTTTTTTTTCACTTTTACCTGATGTATTACAAAATCCAACCGCCATGCACGTGGCGTTGTCGGTTTAACTATAGCTCTTGGCAAATTTCAATGGTGAAGTCCTCTCGAAATCTTAAATAATTGTTGATTGCAGATGTGTCTAGTAGTTCCCACTGATTTTGCTTGTTAAGCAGGGAGAATGGCGCTAGGCTTACCGCACCGTGATGTCACTGCCGGAAGATGTCAAGAGTGAGGTGTTGCTATATGCGGGCAAAAATGGCCGCTCTCGGTTTCAGTCATCGAGACGAAAATCACTTTTTTTTTATTGTTTTACTGTTTAAAGCTTAAATTAATTAAATCACCACAAACATATTAGTTTGAGGTATAGATTATGATCCATTCATTATTCCTTGCTGATTGGACTTTCCTTTAATCCTGTTTGTTAGTAGATGTTGTTGGTAGTTTCCTTTAAATATTTCATTTTAATAGGTCTATATAAAATATATAGATTATTGTAAACAGATTAATGTTTCCAAGCCCTAGTTTTTGTTTACTAAAACCATTTTCCCCATACAGCTAATAAAACATGATGCTTAATTAAGAAAGCCATTTAAAATGGCCCTTCCCAGTCAAACGCTAGCCAAATGGCAGCCCATTTTCCGTTTAGTAGCAGCCTTAAGATCGAGTTACATAATGGATGAACTCTTGTTTGTTTGTTTTTTTAGGGATGTGACCCAGCAGATATTCTAAGCAGATATACCTCTAAGCCTCTTCTTTTGGGGGATTTGAAGGACAAAATGATAACCTCAGGTTTACTCTACAAGTATGAAGAGGACATGAAAAAGGCAAAAGAAAAAAATGACAGGTGAATCTCTAAGCCATAAAGTTAAATAAAATATTTTTGATAAGAGAACAGTTTTTAGAATGTATTTATTGTTTTTTTTTCCTTTTAACAGTGAGCAATTTGCTAAAGAATCCCAACATGTACGGGAAACGCTCATTAACGTAAGTGCACACAGACCACCATTCAATGTCCATCACATAGCTTCTATCCTCCAGCTGTTTAACACCTTTTATCTTTTTCAGATTCAACAACTGCTGTCTGGTGTTGAGAAAAACACCACTGTGTGCCAAACAATCTTTGAAAAATGTGACAGTTTTGCATCATTACGTAAGTTTTCTGCCACTTTCTTACTTCTTTTGGCCTTTCTGGGCTGGATTTATGTGATGGAAAAATGACCACATGGCTGCAACCAAGCAACCTTTCCTTTAAATGTTAAACATTCCCATCTTTTTTAATTTGACTTTCAGTTTAGCTCGGTGTGACTGTTGATAAATGGCTGCTTCTTTTTAGGCTGAGTCCTGTATCTCCCGCACTGTCACTGCTTTAATACAAAATAGAATATAAAAGTGGAATGCTAAATATAAAAGTGGAATGCTAAAAAACAATGTGCAAGCATTCATATTTTCCAGTAGGTGGTGCTGTTTGCCCAATTATCACAGTTTATACATACAATACAAAATTCCCAAGAAAACCCTTATTTCTATGAAATTTTCTTAAAAAGGAGATAAGCTTTCTTATAATATTCAAAGATGGTCTTAATCATTATTTTACATACTTTCTAACGTCCTCCAAAGTTTTTTTGTTTTGTTTTATTTTGTCACTAGTTTTTAATGCAGCATCTGGTCATTTTCAGATCATTTGGTTTATATTTGTTAATACCACTTATCGCTTAACTATTATTTAATCAGACATTAGTCAAATTCATAACCAAAAGGACTGACCATGACCTTTCCATGCATATAAAAGACAACTTATCAATGGATATTTATGCACTTTGTCACTAACACCCCGCCACATAGTCATAACTAGACTCATTTATTGAGTTGAGTCTATGAAAAACATAGGAATCCAATAATGTTTGAAAATACAGAGAACTTGTTTAAAATGATATCACTTTAAAGGAAATAAATGTTACCGTGTTTTCTTTCCTCCCACACTGTTAACATTTGATCATTGCTGCAATTCAGGGAATGGAAATGTCAGGAAAGCTGTACAAAACAAAATTTCATCATCAAAAAGTCATCTAAGCTATGTCTTAAGTCTAGGATTATTACAAGTATTTGTATTACCTGAATAGATATCCTTGTTGAAACGTCATCCATCTTGTTTGTTTCCACATTTAAAAGTGTGAGCATTTATATTCATACCTGAATTGTGCCAAGAATGTGATGGAACCTATTATTTAACAAATAATAATAGATAGAAAATAAAGTTTTAGAGGACAAACTGATTGACCGAGAACTTTTTACTGAAATTCTAGCATACGGTGTGATTGACTGGGGGATGATGCATCTCTCGGATCCTCTGCCTGGACTTTCATAAACTGATCAACTTATTTTAGATACATTTTTTTACTTGACAATTCTGAAAATTTTTTTTTTTTCCGTTTGTTTGCTTTACTATATATATATATATATATATATATATATATATATATATATATATATATATATATATATATATATATATATATATATAAATAAAACATTTGAAGACCTTGATAGAGCACAGATAACTGCTGGTTAATACTATTTAACAAGGTTACTAAAGTTTATCTTCCTTCAAGGAAATAAAAATCCATTTGAGTTGGTTTAAAGCTTTGTTACTTATATGAAAAGTTGCTGATTATATTTATAAAAAAATTTAACTGACCTCAGTTACGTTGTCTGTTTTACTCTCATCTTAGTGAAGAACAGTTTTGAGAGCCTTCAGACGAACAGTTCGCAGATGTTTGAGATTGTGGTTGACAAATTAAGCTCTCAAATGGGAGTAATGAAAGAGCTGGAGGACAAACTGCAGAAGGTTTGCAGTTTATGGATTTCTATACTTCTTGACAAAGGTAGAAACAGATCATTGTTTGATAAGCAATGAGTATATATGTTTTTTTCTATTATTTTAGAATGGGGAAGCCACAGCACAACTTGAAGCACAACTGAAAAGCTTAAAGAATAGTTTGGAGAGTCTCGGAGAGCTGCTCAACACTCTTGTCTCAAAATCATCTGCTAAACCCAGTGTGGCCATAGATAGTGCCGCTCAAACATCCCCAGTGCTGGAGCCATCCATGCATGATAATCTGCTGAACAGTCAAACCAAGGTTACAGAGGCTCCAAAAGCACCTAATAACCTTAACTGTCAAGCTGAAACGTCCTCTAAGGATTACAGCATTGGTTGGAAAAGACTCAGTCGGAGGAGTCAGAAGCGCAAAAAGAGACCACTAGTGCTCTCCAGGAGAGGTAATCAGTCAGTCCCAGATGAAAACACTCAACCTGTGAATCAGGGTAAAAAGCAACAGAAAATATCAGGATCCCTTCTCCAGCCCCGCAATCAGAACATCCAGGCCATCGAACAGAACCTCAGCTCAGGTAGTTCAACGTCCGTGAAGAGGGGAAGTACATCCAACACGGGCGCAGGATATTTCGTCAACATGCTGAGCAGCTGGTCCCAGGACAGCAACATCTCTGAGTGGAGTGCTGCCACCGAATCCATCCTGCAGCGATTGTCTGGCTATTCAAAGATGGGGAGCCCGGTAGAACAAGGAGAAATCTGGCAGTTGTTTGAACCTGATGTTGAATTTTAGAAAAAAAAAAAAAGTAAAAGCACTTTTACTCTTGTTCTTATAGGTAAGAGCCAAACCTGTTCACATAAAACAACTTTGATTACTTTTCCTGAAGATGTGTTAGATGTGTTTTTCTTAACAAAATGATAGCTTTAGAATATATTTCTTAGTAGAAGAAATGTGGAAAAAGAGTGCAGACTTACCCTTGCACTGTTTGGCATGCTTATTTAAGCTGTTTTGTCTTTCTAAAGATTGTTTATATTAATATAATTTTGTTAAGGTTGGCACTGTTGCACCATAGAGTTCCATTATATCTCCAGTTTGAGAGTAGCTTTAGAATATATTTCTTAGTAGAAGAAATGTGGAAAAAGAGTGCAGACTTACTCTTGCACTGTTTGGCATGCTTATTTAAGCTGTTTTGTCTTTCTAAAGATTGTTGATATTATTATAATTGTGTTAAGTTTTGCACTGTTGCACCATAGAGTTCCATTATATGTCCAGTTTGAGAGTAAAAATAAACTAATACGCGAATGAAGTTGAAGTCTTTTGATTTGCTAATAGGGTTGGCTCTAATGTTGTAATTATTTAACAAGAAGGGACCCTTGTTTACTTTTTGGTTTCAGAATCAGAAGTGTTTTTTGCTGTCCCTTTTATATAAATGAAGTAAACTTACAAAAAAAAACATGTAGGAAAGAGTATTTAACAGTAAGCATCTTATCAAAAAAAAAGTATGGATTTCTGTTGAAGCTCTTTCCATGTCTGTCTAAGTTTGGTAAATACTGTAATAATTTTACCAAACTTTATTCTTTACTATTGCAGGAATCCTAACAAAAATGCATACTCGCATGATTCTAATAATGAAGTTATAAAACTGTGTGTATAAGACTGTGTGTAATCACATCAGACCACCCATCCTCCAAATAAAGTGCATATTTATTTCCCTCCAAAATAATTCAGCAAGCACAGTAGATAAAAAAAAATCAATACCTTTAATGTAAAATTATTGATTTCTAAAATATTACAAGATTTCTTTTCTTTTCTTAGTCATTAAAGACGTAAGGGCATTTAATCTGGAGAATTTTCAATCCAAGTTTGTCTTATATGATAACTAATAAATCTATGTCATTATTATTAATGATGCATGCAAATGGAATCACTTTTATATTTCCAAAAGCAGGCTGGTCTAATATAAACTAGGCAATATTCAGGAAATAATCTCTGCAGGTGCAACACACCCACACAACAGTATTCAGAAATGAAGTTTCTGCCTACAAAAGTGCATTGACTCCATTAAGTACATACCTCCAGGAAGAACGCAAGACATTTTCTGCCTGATAAGAAGACATTAACCGGTCAATAAGTGCATTAATGTTTCACTTTCCTCACCCAAACTGGTCTGACTGACAGCTGATGATCACAGATTCATTAAGTCAGAGGGTGGGGATATTAGTCCCCTTGGGTTGAGACTTGCGACCAAGCAGACATCGTAGTTGTCATGCATCACTGCGTGCCGGGTCACCACTGTCCAACGGTTTTCCCATGGATCAAGCTCCAAAATGTCCTTAGTTATGTCATCATGACGATCTGAGATGGAATAAGACACGGAGAGAAATCTGATAGCAGCTTGAAGCAACTTTGCAAATTTGAGTGTAGATTTTCTGCTTGTACCTGCTCCTTTGTAATATCCACAGACATAAATCTTCCCTCCCACGACCCCTGCATTAGAGGCATTAGTACGAAGTGAGAGCTGGGGACATGGGAGAGGTGGTCCCTCCCTCCAGTAATCTCCATCTGGGTTGTAGATGTCCACAGCACTCAGACAATGACGTGACTGTCCACGGTCCATTCCCTCACATCCTATCCCTCCTGCAAAACATGTAAGTGCCAATAACCAAATCATTGCTATTGTAATTCAATAGGCAATGTGAGGGACTTGCATGGTTCTCTGGTGAGTTTTCAGTTTTAAAACTGTCTCATCCTGTAAGCCCTGGAGGATTTTTATGTATGAATGACTGATTAGGCCTAAGTCCAAACAAGAACATTAGGAAATTAAGATATAAAATGCATGTTTAATTCTTTGATACCAACTATAAACAAGGGTGCATCAAATACACAGAGCCTTGCAAAAGTGTTTATGCCGCCTGGTTGTTTGCACATCTTTTCTTGTTTAGAAGAATCTGACTTCATAAGTTAGCAACATTGCTATGTGTGTTATGGGGAGAAAATTACATAGTTTTCACAATTTTTTTTAGAAATACAAATTATAAAATAGTAGACATTTTCGCATTTTTTTATTCAGCCTTCTCTATTCTTGTATATTAACATAAATGTCAGTCTGATCATCTGCCTTCAGAGGACTGAAGATAGAGTTCACCAATGTGTCATCTAATCTTTGTATGGAAGCATCTGTTTTGTGAGTTCCTCAGAAATTTGTTAGAGAACATAAAGAGAACAAAAAATCCCAAAGACCAATTAAAAGTTTAGGATTTGGAGAACTTGAAAGCAGAAGATTTTTAAACAATACTCCATGCTTTTACCTATTAAATTAAGGACCAACTTCATGCCAAACTAAAGCTCCTCCACATGGAAAGAGAATCAGACAGCCCAAAGCAAGGGTTCCCAAGTAACAATTTTGTTATACAGGCAGATTTTGATTTTGTGATTGGGTGTATTTGCTTTTTTATTGTAGTCTGATCACTTTTAATCTATATGTGTGTTAATAACCTCCCTTTTTGCTGATGAAGGTTCTCAGTCATCCAGGTCATAGTCATTCCGTAAAAATTCAAAAAATATCCACTGGACTTGGTTTTGAAGATTTGAAGACGTTTCGCCACCTCTTCAGGAAGCTTTCTCAATTCAAATGTCTGGATCCGCAGTGAGTTTGAGTCTTATATAGACAAAGCCTTGTATCGCTTGGAAACATGCAAATGGTAACCAATGAATGGGTCGTTTAGTTCCATCGTTAGCCTGTAATATCTTAACCTGTCTATGATTCTAAGGGTCGGTCGTTAAAGGGGGGGATTGCCGTTAAGGGGGGATCGTCTCCTGTAATACCTGAAACCTGTCTATGATTGTTAAGACTCGGCCAACTTGTAAAACTGTATTTTAAAGGAGGTAAAGTTCTTCAAGCAAGTATTGATAACATTGTAGTCTCCGCCTTTGGCATTTTTAATTTTTTTAAACAAGTGTTAGTTGCCTGCCACATGTTTCAAGTGTCTGCCACATAAAACTCAAATAGAATTTGCATTTGTAGAGTGGGAAATTATGAAAAGCTTCAAGAGGTATATTAAAAAGATATGAACAATAGTAAGACTAAGTAAGACAAAAATCTACCTACCCATAACAAAAATTTCCCCATTCAGCACCAAAGCACTGCAGCGGTACTTGGAGTATTTCATTGGAGCAAGCTCTGTCCATTTGTTCGTGTTTGGATTGTATTCCAGGAGGCGGTTACTGAGACGGTCCGGCTCATCGTCCATGCGATATGACTGGAATGTTGTATTGGGTTCAGAGAATGACAAAGCAGAACAGTTTAAGACAGTTACTTGCTGTCAACAAAGTCATGCTTTCAGTTTTGCATGACCAAAAAAAAAATTTTAATAATACCTGTGGGGTGCGACCACCCAATACATAAAGGCAGTCTTTTACTGTGACCACACAGTGATAGGCCAAAGGCAAAGGCAGAGGTGCTGCACTCCTCCAAGGTCCTCCCTGCAAAGACCAACGCTCCACACAATTTGTGATGAGAAACTGGTTCTTCAGCTTCATCTGTCCCCCCAAGAGGTATAGAGTGTCTCCTATAGACCCCAGGGCGTAGGAGTCCCTATACTCTGCTGATGTTAAGTGTTCCCAGCTACCCTGGGCTTCCACTTTATACCTGCAAACCAGGTCAGATCATAATTAGTTATTACACTACAAATAAGTGTTCTGCTGGACAAAGTGTCAGCCTATTTTTACCTGTAGATCTCAACGTTCACATCTTTCTGTCGGGCCATTCTCCGTGCACTTGCCTCTCCTGCTACAATGATGTCGTTTCTTTCAGTCACAACTCCTGCGCACACATATCCCAGAGCATCTCCATAGCGAGGGGAGGTGATGTAGTAGGCTCGGCCCATGGCCGGTGCAAAACAAAAGCTGCGCTCCGTGTAGTTGGCGTACCTTGACCTGATCCCTCCGCCATCATTACCAACACAGAGCAGCAGATCTGTAGTTTCCATTCCGTACCTCAGCTTGAGTTTACGTGGTGCAGCTGAAGGATGCATGATCACCGCCTCCAGAGCTTGATTCATCATTTCCAGACATTCCGCATCAGCCAAGAGGGCTGTGTTCCTCTTCATTGCCTCTCTTAAGTAGTCAGGATTTATCAGCGGGAGACGGACCTTTCTCAGGAGCTCTGGTAGATGTCGAATACGGACCTCCCCATCCATCAGAGGGTTGTGTTTGACCCAGTGAAGAACAACATCTAAGATGGTTTCTTCTCTTGTCACATTGAGATCATCACAGCTTAGAAGCTTTCCAAGCTGGTGGGCCTCCAGCTCCAGAATTTCCTCACTCCGGCAGACTTGGACAAAGTGTTGTCTCAAGAAGCGCTGAGCATGATCAGCCAGCTCCTCTGCACCAAGGTCACGGGCAAAGTAATACACGCCAAGACAGTTGGAAGAGTCCATGTTCTCTGTCATATGCTGCCGACAACGTGCAAAAACATCATCCATCTGCAGGAGAAAAGCTGCAATTGATACACCTTGCACATTGTCATTAGTAAGAGGAAGTTCTGAAGTGTACATGTAGTTCAGGAGCAGGGCCAGGCTGTCTGCAGGGGTGTCACGTAGGAATATTTCTCTGTTACTGCACTCACGCAAACCACATGTGAACATTACACGGAAGTATGGGCTGAAGGCGGACAAAAGAACTCTGTGGCAGGGGAAGCTGATGCCCTCAGCAACCAGCACTACATCCGTCAGATGCTCAACCTCTCTCATCTTCCTCAGCTGTTCAAGGAGCACCTGCCCATGTTTGGCAGTAAGATCCATTTCC